AATAATAATGGGGAGTGTGACAATAATGAAGCAAGTAATCAGATGAACTGTTGAGTACAGGTGTCTACTTTTACAACTCTTTCATCAAAGAGAAAATTAAGCGCTCTCAGAATATTATGGCAAATTACTTGCTGTTATATGACTGCTAATCAGGTGGAGTACATAAATGCATCAGGAACAATCTTCTTGAGCAATTATGGCAGTAGATGATTAAGGCACAGAGCACATCATGGGACAGGGAATGGGCTCTTTTTCTCTGCCTACAGATCTAAATGCCTTTTGCAAAAACAAACGACACAAGCCCAGAGTCACGGGTATGCCTACTGAAGTTTGATGGTACGGAGCATGGGAGGACATGACTCCTGCTTCCCCACAGTCGTGTCCCACAGTCCTTGGGACAACTCTGCTCTGCAGGGGCTGGAGTTTATGCCGGGGCTTTATGGGCTGTTGGGAGGTGGGATGTGGGGTAGATGTGGCATTACCTTACTTTACCTTACAGGCACCCTTCAGTGCGACACCGCCCCTGACACCCAGATGCAGCCCAGAAGGATGTGTGCCCCCAGCCCAGACCCTGGGAAGGAGGATGGCAGGGCCATGCTCCAGCACCCTTTCCCCATGCTCTGCCCCCCAGTGCCTTGGGGAACCGAGGGCACTATGGCCCTGCTCCTGGTGCCCCACCAGCTCCCAGCTGCTGTGGGGTGGGTCCCCAGTGGCCACGGGCTACGAGCACACCACGCCTAGAGGTGGGTCTGTCCACCTCAACAGCTTCCCAGGGAAACAGCACAGCAACGGCATCACCCCCTGCTTTTCCCCCTCCCACTGTTTCCCAGCATCTCACACAGCTGATCAAGCCCTGCGTTTTCTTCTTGCTTCCTCCGTGTCTTCTGAAGCTTCTCTGGGATGCACCAAGGCCACTTCCCGAGTCAGTACGGGAGGCCTCCTGAACCAGACCCCTGCCCCAGCCTGGAAGGGCAGCTCCTGGGGCTGATGCAGAGAAGGCTCCTTCCGTGCTCCTCTCTTTGGGTCCTTCAGCTAAGGGAAGAACACGGTAAGGAGCTGAGAGAGAGCTTTGGCTCAAAAAGCAAGCTGGGGACCACTCTCTGGTGCTGCAAGGTGGGGGCTCAGCCTGGGGACTGACATGGCTGTCCCTTGTGTCCTCATCCCCGTGGGGACGCCAGGCTGCCCTGGTGGGATGCAGCAAGCTGCTGCACACACTCCTCCCCCCCCGAAATCCCGTGCTCTAAGCTAAGGATGCAACCCGGGATAAAAGCAGCCTCTCGGCAGGGCCCCTTCTGCAAGATGGCTTCAAGGGTCCCCTCTATGAGCTGAGGAGGAAGAACTAATGTAGAGTTACAGGGTGCAACTGCAGCACAGAGCAGGCGGTCACGCTGGGTCGCACGGCCGCTCTGGAGCAGTGCTGTGCTGCGCCAGGCAGCAGGGCTGGTCGGAGGTTTCTGGTGAGGCGCTTTCGGCACGGCGGGGTGGCTGTGCGGAGGCTGCGGCAGCGTTTCCCAAACCCTGCCTGTTAATTGCAGGGATGTGGAGGAGGAAATAGCTAGCTGCTATGTCAACGCCTTGTGGCCTGTGTGAGTCCCTGATCAACACCCAAACCCTGTCTTTGATATTTAGAGACTAAGAATAGCCCATTCCCCCAAGGGCATGGGAAGTCCCCTTTCATTTAAGCAGCACCTGTGCATCCTTTCAGTCTATCATGGCACCGACATTACCGTGTAAGCATCCCTCCATATTCTGCCTTAAAGACTGACTTTTCTGCCGTCTCGGCCCTTTCCTCGTGCTATAGCAAAGATCCTTGTGCTGTGAGACCACGCAAGATCTCTGCCAGCCTCAGTGACTCCTGATGGGAATGGCAAGCCATACAAAAAAATGGATTGGGTTTTGGATATCTCAGGATAGAAGATAACATAATCCCATTATTAAAAAAAAAAAGGTATCTTCATCTGTTCTTCCCTGCTAGTTTCCAATTCTTTATTACTGGGCTTTGCAAATCCTTCGTATTTCCTTTCAGGTCATTTCTGTCAAGTTTGGGATTGTGAAGCTATTCCTGTGCTGATACGTGAAGAGCAGATGTGCTAAAGTCTGCATGTATCCACTTAATTCATGCATAAAAAGAGCAAACTGCTGCCTTTTTTTTATTATTGGGTGCTAGTCCACAGTGATACACATCCTGTCATCTGTGCCACTGCTGCGCACACAGCTCATGGCTCAGCCCCGCACTGCAGCGCGCACGCGTTTGGGGGGCTGCTGCAAATACCTGGAGATGGGAAAACTACAGCTTCAGAAATAACCCCCAGAGCCTGCAGCTGGAGCTGGGAGGCAGCGCTTCCCAACACTGCTGCTCTCCTTCTTAGGTATTAACCGACATCTGCAGTGCTCTGACGGTGCTGCTGTGAAATTCCATTAGGGATGCGCTCCCCAGGCCAATATATTTTAAGGCTGAGCACAGCAGCACACTGAGAGCCCTGCGCACCCCCCTGCAATTTATGAGAGCACTTTCCCTTGGCACATTATCTTGCACAATCCTGCCGCTGCCTTCCCCCATGGGACCACTCCTGTGCTGGAAGGTTTGCAAATCTCAGTCTTAATTTGATACCAGCTGCTAGCAATATACCTTTGACACCCCTAAGATCATTTCTCTTCCTAGGCTACAAGCTGCACTTAGAAATTTTTCTAAACATATTAAGAAAAAAAAAATCAGATTATGTAATGTTTGTTAGACCATGAGGGGTTTTTATAACCCTCGGGGTTTTGAGCTTCACAAGGAAGATAGTTAATTTCTACATCTTGTATTTTTAGAAGGGGGAAGCTCAGAACTTGCCCAGCTGTGCTTGCAGAGGAGCAGCCAGGAGAGCTCCCCGGGGCTCTGCGGGAGCAGACGGTTCCTCTGGCTGGGGCACGGTGCTCAGGAACTCAATCGTCCATCACCCCCCGACCAGTGCTGGCACATCCTGGGCGGATGCAGACAGAATTGTCAGCCGTCCCTGGAGTGTCCTGCTCGAGGTGCCACTGCGGGCGGCACGGCTGCAGGCATCTGATGCGACGTATCAGTCCGTACACCTCTCCTCTGGAGGCTTCTCCCCCAGCTTTGCTCTGTGTAATGACCAATGCACATAAGCAAAAAAATCCCTGTGCACACCAGCATGGTGAGATATTGCACAAAAACGGTTGGTAAAGCCAATCGCAGCCTTGGAGGTGGTTTAGTGTGTGGCCACTGCAGTCACCGTTCTCACGCACGCTTTGGAAAGTGCATCCCCTTTCTGGGACGGTATCAACAAGCTGCAAACTCGCCTCACGTTGGAAGACTAAACAAGCTCAATCTATGTGAAAAGAATTATTTCATCACCACCATCATCACTTGCAGAGGAGAAGACTTCTGATGGCAAAGGGCTCTTTGGTTTATCAAGCAAAAGTACAACAAGGTCCAGTGCCTGGGAGCAGCAGCCAAACTAGTTTGAAACAGAAAGAAAACAACATTTTTAACACTGAGGAAATCAAACCGTCATCGTAAGCAAGGTGATGTGGGGTTTCTGTCGCTTGACATCTACCCGGAGACAGAGGGCACATCTCCATCAGTCTGCAGGCTCCGGGAAAGGGAAACCAGCTTAATTGTATTAACTTAAAGAAACTAGTAAATAAGAATATGGAGCATACTGTCAGCTGGAGAAAAGGGTTTTGGGGATAACAGCTACCAAAAGGACGAAGTCAGTGATTTAGGTGAAATCAGGTTATGGAATTCAGGCACATGTGTGGAGTGACTGTGTGTGCTTCACGTCAGACCTCGTAGTCTTCCTCTCCTTCAAATCTACCCGGGAACGTGTGGGCATGGCTGCTGGACGGTCCCAATGGATTGCCAAACAGCCTGTTGGTGTGGATCAGGAGAGTCCTGCAGTAACAATACAGTTAGATACACAGGATTCTTGATGGCAGAGTCATCCCTGTCTGTAAAGCCGATGTGTCTGTAGGGCTGGTTGATCCCTCAATGCATTTATTGCATTAATACATTGTTAATGTGTTGCATTTCCCAACAACCCTCCAACGTATGTATGGGTACATGTATAGCTGCAGCATGAGCTCTTTGCGTGCATCAAAACACACCTGGAGTGCTCTGCCAGAGCTGAGCCGCCCACGCTAAACCTCTGGCTGAGGCGTTGGACCTCAGCGTCCCTGCTGAAAACCAGGTATTTAAAATATAGTCTTGTCTTTAACAGAACTCCTTGTGCATAACCAACATCCTTTGGTTTTGCTCCTGGTAAAATCTGAATACAAAAACTTAATCATCTTGTGTTTGTTTGTTTGCTTGCTTGTTTATTTACTCAGTTTCCTTCGTGCGTCCCTCCAGCTTTTTGGGTTTCTGAGGAAAAACAAAGAGGTTAGTCTGAGCAAAGCACGGCAGTACTTGAAAAAGTCCTTCCCATCGAATTATAGGGAACAACATTTGCTTTTCATCCGTGTTCCATATTTCTGTGTCAGTTCTAATCACAGTCTACGTCATGCCATGAAGGGTTTGCTGTCCTCAGTTCCTCGGCTGCGTTTCCCCCCGAGATGACCAAAGAGCAGAACCTGGCAGGCTCCTGGGCTTGGGGAGCCACCGCTGATCAAACACCCGGTTAGCAATTCATGTGAAAAAACATCAGTGGGAAGGGCTTTTTCCCCTAAGGGTCTAGCTAACCATAAAAATCTCATTGGAATATTTATACCCAGTTTTATTTTTAATTTTAAAGTTCTTTTTCTCTCCTTAAAACTGTTAATAACTTCAGCTTCATCATGATATTCCATTATATTTGAAGAAAATATGCATTTTAATCAACTGCCTTTTATAAATACACTGATTATTTATTTATTTCAGAAGAGCCCTATGAAGGCATTCATCTGCCTCCCGTGGCATCCTCCAGCGCCTGTTTTTCCCCCCAGCTGGTGGTGGCAGTGGTGGTGATGGTGGTGGTGGAGGTGGTGGCAGTGGTGGTGGCGCTGGTGGTGGTGACAGTGGTGGTGGAGGTGGCAGTAGTGGTGGCGCTGGTGGCGGTGGTGACAGTGGTGGTGGTGCTGGTGGTGGTGGCAGTGGTGGTGGAGGTGACAGTGGTGGTGGTGCTGGTGGTGGTGACAGTGGTGGCGGTGGCGGCAGTGGTGGTGGCACCGGTGGTGGTGACAGTGGTAGTGGTAGTGGTGACGGTGGTGACAGTGGTGGCAGTGGTGGTGGCGCTGGTGGTGGTGGCGCTGGTGGTGGTGACAGCGGTGACAGTGGTGGTGGCAGTGGAGGTGCGTGCCCCGACTTCTACACCAGAGGGCAATAAAGTGAAGGTAAAATTCGTTTTTTCTATATTAAATAGGAGTGGTTCATAGGACAAAAGTAACTTACCTTATTATTTATGACTTGATAATTGAATATACTATTTACCTGCCAAATCTTTGTACATTTTAGAAGCAGAACCCTGCTGTGGTGTTAAGACATTGAACCAAGATTTTCCTTCCACACAGTTGCATTTTATAAAGTACAGTTGTGCAGACCTTAAGTTTTCGCCAGGACAGAGTTTTTTTTTTTTTTCTATTTTTGTTTTTGAGCAGTAGATAACTTTATAGCATTATCTGTCATGTGTTCAAATATTTATAACCACCCGTAGAAAAAATGTAAAGTGATTATTTCTTTCAGGAAGCCAGGATGCCAGCTGCAAACCTGGAAGGTTTTGGATTTTGCAGATAAATAAAACACTCTCTCCCTTGCAGGGGCTGCTCCTGGAAGTGCTGTGCAGCAGCTGGGTGTTATTCTTCCAGCTGAAAACACTTGACTTCCCAGACCTTTAGTGCAGGTTGGAGAGAGGGAGGAATTATCTTAAACATTCTGCCACAGAGTTTACAGAAAGAGTCCCAACACCCATTACCGGCGATGGAGAAAGAATTACAGGAGAGTAAGGAAGGAGTGCTTGGGGGCTCCTGAAAAGGGTAAGCTGAAAATAATGGCAACAAAAAGGAGGTTGTGGGCTCTGCTTTGTGGGAGAGTGGTTGTGGTGCTTTATGTCGCTCTGAGAGCAGAGGGCACGGCCGGGTCGGGGTGTCCCCAGCTCTGCCATTGCCACATCGGGTGCTGCCATGGTTGGGGAACACAGCTCCTGGGGGGGATGAAGTTCCTGAGGTCTGTGCTTAATATGGCTGGGAAGAGAGCAGACCTGGAACATCAGGGAACACACAGATGTGTTTTAAAATGCTGATGATCAAAATATCACACAGTGAATTAGTGATCATATGAATCCCATCAGCACCAGTAGCCTTGAATGGGTACACTGGGAATTGTTGTGACCGGTGGCATGCTCCAGGGCTGAAGCTGCTGCCTGGGATGAACCCACACCTGGGATTATATCACATCTGGGATGAACCCACATCTGGGATGAACCCCCGCCTGGGATTATATCACATCTGGGACGGTCCCACATCTGGGATTATATCACATCCTGGTGACACAATAAGATAAACTGAGGTTGATCTTTGTGACAAAAAAATGCTCAGGTCCTCTGTTGTTGCTGCCTTACCCTGACCCACGGGCAGCAGCGCGGCTCAGGTCTACCTGTGGCTGCTGTGACCCCGGGACTCCTGCTCGTGTTCGCATGAAGCTGGAGCACCAGAGAGCCTGGGCTTCTGAAACGCTGTGTTAAGGTGATGGAAGGAAGGCACCACGCAGAAAAGTCATGCACCCCAGAAAGCACACAGTGACTGCCCTTTACAGGCTCTTACCCCATAGAGAAACCCAGACCTGCCCAGCTGGCTCCCGGTCCTGCCCAGACCCCGCGTTTCTGCAGGGCGTGCCCCTGCACCACTCTGGACCAGCCTCCTTCGCACCAGCACGTTCCCAACGGCGAGGATAACCAAAGCTGGTGATAACCTCTGTCTGTGGGTGCTCAGGTTGTATTCTATATTTATCAGTATTTCCTATTTCAGAAGAAATTACAAGTCAGTGTGCAGAAAGTGCTCCCTGGTTTAAATTAAAGATTGTCTGTGATGACTATAATTTGAAATTTTTGAATCAACCCAGAAGTCAAGTAATATTGACAGCTCTCTGGCTGCTAGGCTCACATTACCCCTTGTTTGATAAGCCTGTGTTTGAGCTAAGGATGTACTCTTTTGAATGCAAACCGAGACCTTGGGGGTCCTTTCTGTGCAGCTGATGATCTTTCCCTGTTTGCGGTGCTCTGGGAGGGGCAGCAGCGGGATGGTTGAATGAGGAACACTGGGTGCACACGCTGCTTTATTGCACTTTAAATGTCTTTTTTTGTAAAGGTTACTCAGATAATATAGTTGAGAAGGAAGGCAAAGGCCAGTGCTATAACTCCCTGCACCATGAAGCCATAGCGAGACCCGTGCTCCTGCATCGCGCGGCACAGCATCGCCTGCCGCGGGCATGGGATTCATGGCTCCTGGGAGGGAACAGGAAACTGGGGGTGTCACCTGCTTGAAAGGACGAGAGGTCGGCAAAGAGGCTGCACACATGGCTTGTCACTAATAAACAGATAAACTAATAAACCTTCCCCTCCGGCGATGCTTGGTATTAGCAGGTTCAGGGAAGGAGAAGCTGCAGCTTGGTCATTAAAAACAAAGGCAGCAAAGCTGGGCAGAGCAAGGGATAATGGTCCTGGCATTGAAAAGTTTACCTGGAAGCACCCAGGGCACTGTGGCTGTCTGCTAAGAGCCTCGTTTTGCTCCCAACTCCTCCGCCTTTTCGCATCCGCAGGCTGGTTTGCTGCCCATGTCCTTGCTGGTGCCAATGCAAGGTCCTGGAATATCAAACTGGCACTTGTTTTTTTTTCCCCTGAAATTATTTGGAGGCACAAGAAAGGCAGGTTGGGTCCCAGGCAGCCCGTGTGGGGAGGAGGAGCCCAGGTTACTGTAGCAGCCTCTGTTGCCAACTTTAGCATGAACCCTGAAAAAAATTTAGTTGCATTGAAATTTGGCAAGCTGCTTGTAACTGGGGAGGAGTTTTTTGGGAAAGAAACTGAACAGCAGCCAAGGAAGGGTACAAGAAGATCTGAACAATATTGCTCATGAATATTTTGCAACATTGCCCTTTAAAAATAGGGCTGGGCTCAGTTTTGTTCTTTTGTATTTCTGCCATCCCAAGATAATCAGGAGACTCGGTCTTCTGGCTTTCACACCAGTGACATCAAACGGAGCTGAATGTTAGAAAAGAGCTGCTTCTGTGCATCAGGACCAGGTCAAGAATTTTATTTTGTAAAAATGGTTTTTTTTCTGTGGAAAATATTGATGCTTTGACATTATTTTGTATCCTGAGCTAGGCAGAGAGCATCAATAACAAAAGCTTCTATCCTGGGAAATGCCACACACACCCAACAAGACGTGGATGTGCCTTTTGTACCACGGGAATCTGACTTTTCCAGAACCCTCCAGTAACCACGTATGCAAAATGTTCATGGGGAGCTTGTTAAGTTGCAAAAACCCTTCATTTGCATCTATAAAGTGGCTGGTGGGTACCACTGTGCTCAAAGGCAATGGTGGGGCAACCTCCTGCCCAGAGCTGGGGTGTTTGCAAGGCTCTTGCTTTCCTGGAGGAGACCATCACTGAGGTTTGTTGGCAGATCCTTTTCTCAGCGTGATCATGTTCGCATTGCGTCAGGTCACTGGGAATGGGAGAAACCTCCCCACGACACAGGGTCTGGCGGCACCCATGGCTGGATCATGCACAGCTTTGTTAGGGACCCACGCAGGGGTGCGGGACGGAGCAGCCAGCCTCCGCCCACACTCTCCGTTGGTTTGGGGTCTGCCCAGTTCAAAGGCAAGCTCTCGAAGGAACCATCACATCCATTTCTGAAACCACCGCAGCGTGCCGTGCCTTGCTAGGAATTTTTAAATGAACATGCCGTTCTGGTTTAGCTTCAGATCTGCTCGGCAATAAAATGAGATATTCCTTCTGAAGACAGAGTTCTTCCAGCAGAAGCACTTTGAGGTCTACCTGCAGACGAAGGGGATGCATGATTTCAGCAGTGAGTGTTTTTCTGCATGTTTTCACCTCCAGCCTGCTGAGGGTGCCCAAGGAGAGGCTCCCAGCCAAGCTGCTGTTTGCAGTTTTATGTTGTTTTTCCAGAATTTTCTATAAACTTACAAAGGGGCTTCATTGATAGCAGGAAGAGAAGGTACTTCCCAGAGCCTTTGGCATGACCCAAAGCTCAGGTTTACAAAGATTGCCCACCCCGCTGTCTCATCTGGGGCTGTCCTCAAGACCAGCATTTCATTTCCACAGCAAAGGGAACTTGCAAACGCTGCCTCTGGGCTTTCCTCATCTTCTTTCTGCTGTGTTTCATCTTCTCTTT